CGGGTGTAGGAACCGGGCTGTGCAGAACCGGAGCGCAAACGGGACCGGGCTCCTAAGCACGGGGAGTGGGAACCGGGCTGCAAATAGGAGTGGGCTGTGCAGCACTGGGGAGCCGTAACTTGGCTGCGAGCGGGACGGGGCTGCCAAGCGCTGGCAGTGAGAGCCGGGCTGTGTAGCGCCGGGAGCCTCCACTGGGCTGCAAAAGGGACGGGGCTCCCGAGCACCGGGTGCACGAACCGGGCTGCAAACGGGACTGGGCTGCGCAGCACCCGGAGCCCAAACGGGACGAGGCTGCCGCCAAGTACCGAGAGTTGGAACCGTGGTTGAAAGAGGGCCGGGCTGCGCAGCACCCGGAGCCCCAGCTGGGCTGAGAACGGGACGAGGCTGCCAAGTACCGGGAGTAGGAACCGGGCTGCAAATAGGACTGGGCTGTGCAGCGCTGGGGAGCCTTAAGTTGGCTGCGAGTGAGACAGGGCTATCAAGTGAGAACCGGGCTGTGTAGCGCCGGGAGCCCCTACTGGGCTGCAAATGGGACGGAGCTGCCAAGTACCGAGAGTACGAACTGGGCTGCGAACGGGACGGGACTCCTCAGCAACCAGGAGCAGGAACCGGGTTACAAACGGGATTGGGCTGGGGAGCCCAAATCGGGCTGCAAACGGGACGGGGCTCCCAAGTACCCGGAGCGCGAATGAGGCTGCGAACGGGGCTGCGCTGCCCAGCACCGGGAACCCAAACGGGGCTGCGAAGAAGGGGACTGCGCTGCTCGGAGCCGGGCACTGACTCAGCCGGTGACGCGCCGAGGGGCGGTCTCTGCCTCCTCCATATAACGAGGCAGCGGCCGTGCAGAGCTCACAGTGGCCTTTCCTGCGAGGGGAGGGGGCTGAGCAGCCGGGCACGCATCGCCTTCCTCCTCCTCCTCCTCCTCCTTCCTCGGCGCAAGCTGCACTTCGCTTCAATGAAACTGGCAGCGATGATCAAGAAGATGTGTCCCAGCGAGGCCGAGCTGAGCATCCCCGCCAAGAACTGCTACCGCATGGTCATCCTGGGCTCCTCCAAGGTGGGCAAGACAGCCATCGTCTCCCGCTTCCTCACCGGCCGCTTCGAGGAGCAATACACCCCCACCATCGAGGACTTCCACCGCAAGTTCTACAGCATCCGTGGGGAAGTCTATCAGCTCGACATCCTGGACACGTCAGGCAACCACCCTTTCCCCGCCATGCGCCGCCTCTCCATCCTCACAGGTACTTGGGGACCCCCTCCCCATAGCAGATTTCAGGTGTTCTTGCCCAGTTTGGGGGTGTTTCTCCAGACCTGGGAAGTGGGATTTTTGGGGGGGGTGGGCAACTTTGCTCCCTGCATGGGGTGGATGGGAGGATGCAGGAGCCACGTACTGCCTACTCCTTCCCTCCCCAAGCACTTAGCTTAGGCAGTGCGTCCCCATCCCTGCGACCATCTCACGTTGGCTCTTTGTCCCCAGGAGACGTGTTCATCCTTGTGTTCAGCCTGGACAACCGGGACTCCTTTGAGGAGGTGCAGCGCCTGAAGCAGCAAATCCTAGAGACCAAGTCATGCCTGAAGAACAAAACCAAGGAGAACATCGAGGTGCCCTTGGTCATCTGCGGCAACAAAGGTGACCGTGACTTTTACCGGGAGGTGCAACCCCGGGAGATCGAGCAGCTGGTAGGAGGGGACCCCAAGAAATGCGCTTACTTCGAGATCTCGGCCAAGAAGAACAGCAGCCTGGACCAGATGTTCCAGGCTCTCTTCGCCATGGCCAAGCTGCCCAGTGAGATGAGCCCCGACCTGCACCGCAAGGTCTCGGTCCAGTACTGCGACATCCTGCATAAGAAGGCGCTGAAAGGCAAGAAGCTGCTGAAGGAGGGGGGCCGGGGCAGCTCGGAGGAGGCGTTCGGCATCGTGGCCCCCTTCGCCCGGCGCCCCAGTGTCCACAGCGACCTCATGTACATCAGGGAGAAAGCCATCGGTGGGGGGCACAGCAAGGAGAAGGATCGCTGTGTGATCAGTTAGGAGCTTTGCCCACCATGGGAAGGAAGGAAGGAAAGACTGGAGGGGGGGGGGAGGGGGGGAGATGCTTGTTTCCGAATTGAGTTTGGGCAGGCACCCACCTAGAGAGGGGTTCGCCTCTTTCCCCAGCTTCCCTTATCCCAAGCATTGCTTTCGTCATCTCCCTTTCCTCTGGGGTGGGGGGGATGGATTTTGGGACGAAGGGATGCGAAGGGGGAGGCTTAGGAAGGGCAGAATGGGGATCTCCTTGGGAGCAGCCTCCTCCAGGCAGAGAGACAGGGAAAGGGTGAGCTGCTGGGCAGCCAGATGGGAGGATTAGTGAGGAGGGCATGGACTTTGGCGTTTCTTTCCCTCCCAAACCACCCAGCCTTCAGGAGGGGAGGGCAGGGACCTGCCAGCACCCACCTGGGGGTTTGGGGTTGGTTCCTGTTGGCTTGTTTTGTTCTCTTACCTTGAGAAGCTGAGCACGGACTCTGGCTCTGTGTCCTGTGTGGGTCTGTGTCTATGGAACACGTGCAGAAGACACTCCTAAGCTGTTGCAAAGGCATTGCAGGGTTACAGTCCCGATGGACCGAAACACTGACTCCTGTTTACATTCGTCTTGTCTCATTTGCAAGATCCAGGGGAGGGTGATGGTTGGGGGGGTGGGGGGACGGGACGGGAAGGGCTTTTCTAAGTGAGAAACCAATAGCACTTTATGTAGGTCTTGCTTGGCATTGACATGAACAAAAATCTCTTCAAGTGTTTCTACCGTGGGTGAAACTTTGATGTTTTATTTTTTCTACAAGTGAATAAAATCTTTTTCAAATGACACCTGTGGCTCCTCTCCTTTCAACCCGAATCCTGCTTCAACAAAGCCCAAACCCCGCTCTAAGGCGCTAAAACCCCTCTCAATTCAACCCTTTTATTTTACCCCCTTTTCTCCCAGTGCAAAGGTTTCTGGCTCTGCAAGCGGTCAGGGTAACAAGAGGCCACGCACGGAGTTACTCACTCAAACGTGTCTCCGAGCCAAGACTCTTTCCTCACTCCGCTAACGCCAAGTGACGATGGCAGCAGCCCCACGCCGTGCTGGCCATTGGCATGTCGTTCACTGCAGCAACCCAGCAGCCTGACATCACATCGTTAGAAAGAGCTGCTTGTGTTTCATGCTTTTCCCCCCCATTAACTAAGCTTGAATGATGTCAACAGAGAGTGAGTCACTTGCACCCTGGTTGGGGTATTGTTTTGATTTTGCAATAGGAGTGAAGGAAGTGCTTTGCTCGAAAGGTCACCTTTGCATTTGATGGGGTTTAATCTCTTCTTAAGGAGTTGTTAGTAAGTATTGCTAGAAGGGAAAGCTCTTCAAAGAACAACTCTTCCTGGCTCCGGCTTCTGCTGCGGTTCGCTTCCAGCCCCTTCAAGCAGCAGAACAAACACATATTAATGGCAAAGCGATTCTCCTGAAGCCATAAAATGAAGGTGGGCGAGTGAGACGCAAACCAAACCTGCCTCAGTTTCGGTTGAAACTTGGATTCAAGTTGCCAGAGTTAACTTGTTCCTGTGTTGAGTGCCAGACGGGTCTTTGGAAGCGCACTGCTTCTTCCAGCTCTGCATATGCCCTGATTTCATAGGAACAGCAGCTGGCAACAAAAGGCAAACCCCCATCCAGGAGTGAGATATGAGAATGTATTGAGCTGGGACAGGCAATGGTTGACAGCAAGGTAATTCCAGTAATAAACCGAGTGTACATTGTGCTGTGTTTATCTTGGTGGTGTGCTTTACTCAGAGTTTACACACTGGCACCTTCCCAACGAAAGTACTAGTAGAGTGGAGACAGAGTAATCTCTAGGCTCCAGGTGAGTTGCAACCATTCCAGCTTGCAGGGAGCAGGATTGCTTGTGTTTTGGGTTAGGAAAGGAAAACCATACACAAACACACCTTGTTTGCCTGCTTTTGAAGGCGTGAGTGTTACCCACCCTCTAACACTGGTTCTTAACAGATACTCTATTTCTCCTCTTCCACTACCAACCTGCACCATCTCTTAGAGAACCATGAGATTCAAGGTCCTGTCACATCTTCTATAGTCAACAAGACATGGTGCTGCTTATTGTCCTCTGCCACTGTGAGAGCCAACAGGAGGAGGACAGAGGCAGGGAGCCCCAGTATCCATCTGAAGGTGACACGACACTCAAGAGCTTTCCATCAGCCACTGGCAACCGTTCTACTGCCCAAATGCTTGTGTTTGTGGGAAGCCCCCAGAGCACTTTGGAGGGGGAACTGACCCGTCCTGTTGAGCCTGACTTCTGTCACACATGGAGTAGCTAAAAGCTCTTATCACTTCTGCCCTCTTGTTTTGATTCTGCTTGCCCTTCCTCCAAGAGGAAACGACCCAGGAGCCGGGCCCAGGCTACGCATGTCCTCTGTGCTGCCAAAGCCCTGCCCCAGTCCACATCCACTCAGTGAATACACAAGAGAGGCAGCCTGGCATTTCTAAATCTCTGCTTGCTTCACCTCAGACACAACCACCGCTTGTTGAAAAAGAGAGAAATACAGAAGCAATTGAAAGCAATCGTTCCTCTTTCGACACACAGACGGGAAAGTGTTCCAGAGCCCCTTTCCAGGAGCAAGGCCAAATGGCTCATGCTTCCCTCTTACATTCCCTCCTGATGTGTGGCCATTTTTAAGTGTAAAGAAACCCTAAATCAGAAAACGCTCCTTCTTCTTGCTGAGGGTAACCAGCAGGTATTTTGACCCATAGCGAGGAGAAAACATCATGTCTCCTTGCTTGCTTCAATGTAAAGAAAACCAACCTCCCCTACCCAGAGAAGAAACAGAAGACGCATAAACGTACAGTCCTACAGCAGATCAAAGTGAGCACACCACTGTCATCATCACATGCGAAGCACAGTGTGCTGATTCAGTGCCACACGCCTTTGATCCACATAGGCACAACTTCAGAGCAACGCCACCGAAAGCAAGCACACAAGAAAGAGAAGTAAACTTCTGCCACCTTTATTTCTCCTGTTCAACCAGGACAGAGGTATATCAGTATCTCAGACCCGACAGCAGAGCTGCACCCTTCCTACTCCTTGGGGATCTCAAACATGCAAAGGCTCTTGTACTTCTGCAGCAGCTCATTTTTGGTCCGGACCTGCTCCCGCAGGCTCTGCAGCTGCTGCTGCTGCTGCTCTGGGCTCACGCTAATGCCAGGCATGGAGCTGATCAGCTTCCTCATCTCCTGGAACTTGTTCTTGAGCTCATTCAGCACCTGGTGAACATCCTGGCTGTCCTTGTCCATGCTGCAGAGGAGAGAAAAGCAAGACACCATTGAATTCTCCTATTGGAAACACCCCTTCAGCCTGTGGGGGTGACTGTCATTTCCAGTACAACCAAGGCTTAAACTGGAACTACTGGGCAAATTTTGCTCTCGGTATCTAGCTACACACACCTAATTCACCTATCCTAATGAAATGGACACAGATAGATAGACAGACTGGGTAACCTCTGGAGCAAACTGGTTCCCTGCCAATTTCCAGTTACCTCAGGACCCATCAATGAGGTGAGGAGCTGGTCTGCAGCTTTAAAACATTACCATGGAGCAGGCTACATTCTCCCTCTGCTTGAACTCCCATCTCTCTCTTTGGGGAAGGTAAGATCCCATACGTGTGTTGTGTGTAGGCACCTGGAAAGAAAGCTCTCAGTCTCACCCATGACCTGTTGCTTGCTGTAATACAACGGAAAAAAAATCAATGCAGTCGAACAGCTTGACAGCAGAAAATAGAAACTGTTCCCCAAAGTATCCCAGAGCATCCAATGGCAGGGAAAATGGCACTTTGGAGCTTTCAAACGACTCTCTGGGGATGTATACCTCATAAAAGAGAAGCGACAGCTTATTTTGCTTGTCCTTTAAGAGCAGCACAATCGGTTCCGCAGCCAGCTCTGTGCTTTTCAAGCACCACCGTTGTCTGAGGCAGCGTCTGCCCTCAACCCCTCATTAGTATCTGCCTCAGCTTTGTTAGCACCGGCGAGAAGTTTCCCTGATTCCAGGCAAAAAGCAAGTCCCCGCTTCCAGGGCGCCTGTTAATAAGGAGAGAGGGATTCTAATGGTCTTTGACAACTGTTCTATAGCCAGATCTAAAAATAAACCTGCTTGGCATGACCAGGGTAGAGACAGGCTCGATTCTAAACTTGAGGGAATCGTGCCATGGCTGAGAGCAAAGCTTTTAACCAGATGGTGGCCGCTTGTTTCAGAAAGCCTGCTGGAACAAAACAGTCATTACTCCCTCCTAAAGCAAACTGCAGCTGGTACTAGAATGGAGCCCCATTATGCAGGCATTCCCGGTCGGGATGGCAGTGGAAAAGTACAGGCACACACACACACAGGCTGATGGCATGGGACGGATGGGTTGGCGCTGCCTTTAAGCTATCAGTGCTGCAGGCTGGCTTTGAGAGGGATGTCCTTCCCGTTCCAGGCGTCCCCAAGCCTTGTTCCCTTCCCCACAGGTATGGAGCTGTCTGTGTGGTTGATCCAAAGGGATCAGGTTTTAACCCTGATGGGTGGTTTTCCTGCTGCATCAAGCCACTGAAAGGACTCCTTCTCTGAGGGCACGGACAGGCAGGGGTGAGGAAGTGTGGGAAGAGACCGCCTGCAGTAACACGGGATTGAACACAACATCCAGCCACAGCCTGGGCTGATGGAGCGAGCATGAAACCTGCCTTAAGGCACAGTGCTCTTCATTACAGCACACCGCAGCCCACCACTGGTGGAGCCATGTGCTGGGGCCTCAGCGGTGATGCCATTTGACTGTACAAGGTTGAAAATACCAACAAGCCCTGCTTGGGGAAACTTTGTCCGGACCCAAACAACAGAAAAGAGCACGTGTCCTTGAGTGTAAGCAAACTGATGGGATGTATCCTCGCTCCCAAGCAGAGTCACCTTGGAGATGTGTCAAAACAGCAGGGCTGGCAGCCGTGTTAAAGAATAACACGTTTGCCATCTGTCAGGGACACATCCCATCACCTCTGAGGTCCTACCTGTCTGCAGCACTGCTCAGTGCACCTACATGTGCTCCAGCCACACAGGAAATGCTGTGTGTGAAGCCAAGGAACACAGCTGGTTAGTGGGATGGCTGCTAATAGCGGGTGAGTCAGGAGACAGGGCACAGGATGTCCTAAGGACTGTTATCTATGGGTCAGCATGGCTTGCTCGGTGACAGACAGGAACTCTGGGAGATCTCAGCTCATGGTTATGGCTCACTTCCGCACCTGCATGCACCCAGCAATGGGGTTTAGCCTCGCTTGTGAGGTCTGGATAGAACAGGCAGGGTTGAGGTTGGCACCATCAGCATAGTGGGGAAACTGAGGCGCTCAAGAGGGTTTGTGTTCTCACAGCCATTCTGTACCTGGACCAAGGTGTCCGGGGGTGCTCAGTCTTTCCTCGCCACAGCTCACATTGTGGAGCCATTAAGGGTGAACCTCTCTCCCCTTTCAAACATGCCTGATGTAAGTGAAACATCAGCAGGGCACAGCCCAGCCTCAGCTCCTAACTAAGCACACAGGGAAAGGACAGCCAGGACAACAACCGGCAAGTCACGCTTCCCATTCCCTCTGCCTCACTCCATAGCGTACAGGTGAAAGCCTGCAGGGATTTCCACAGCAGAACCACACTGGAACCTTCAGCATCCCTGAAGGAGTTATCCTGGGCCATACACAGCACAGGTCTCCGAACCTTAGTACAAGTACCTTTGACCTTACGGTACTTATCTTGACCCAGGATGAGAACAGCTTACCCCGTACCACCGCAGAAGCCATCCTACTTGTTACAACTCCCCAGAAACGGGCTGTATCCCTGCCCCAGCACTGCCTGTACTTCCCGAGGCTCTTATCAGCCACACAAGACTCTTATCTGCAGCAATAACCCAGTGCAGGTCCAACACTCCTGCTCCTGGCTGTTAATGATGGGGCAGTGTCCCTGGCCCATGGGAGCACCCGCACTGCTTGGGTGACCCAAACACCGTGCAGGCGCTGCCATGACTCAGCGCAGGGATGCACCTGGGGCTGTGCCAGCTCTTCCCAGGAATTCCAGCGGGGAGGGAAAGGGCAAAGGAGATGCCGGGAGGGGCGACCTCATTGCCCTGCGACTCATCCAGGGCACTTGAGGATGTTGGTGCTTGGAGAGTATAACCAAGAAGGGAGATCCCATCCACGGCACTCCAAGGATGCAGGGGGCTGGAGAGCATCGTTACAGGGTGATCCCATTGCCCTCATCCCTGTCCACCCTGAGGGTGTTAAAGCACCGTTAAAAGGGGGGCCCCATAGCCCTGCTCCCCACTCAGGGAGAGGGAAAGCATCATTTGAATGGGGGACTCCATTCCCATTCCCTATCCAGGGCACCCTGAGGATGTTGGGGTCTGGAGTACATCACTAGAGGGGGACCCCATTCCCCTGGTGGCAAAGCATCGTCAAAGGGGGGACCCCACTGCCCCACGGCATCACTGTGGGGGGGGTGTGGGTGCGGTGCCGGGGCGAGGCGAGGCGAGGCCCGGTGTCCGCCGTTACCATTTGATGATGTCGTGGACGAGCGGCAGGAAGGAGAATTCCTGCGCGGGCGGCGGCTGCGGCGGCGGCGGCGGCGGCTTCGGCTCTGCGGGCGGCTCGGATGGCGGCGGCTCCTCGGCGGTGCGGGCCGCGATCCCCCCCGCGGCCGAGGCCATGGCGGACCCCCGCCGGCACCCGCGGCGCCGCGTAGTGACGGAGCGGGGCGGGCGGAGCTCGGAGCTCGGCCCCGCCGCCGCCGCCGAGCCCCGCCCGGCTCCTGCGGCCGGCTCGGGTGGGCCTTGCCCAGGCGTGGGTCTCGGCCGGCAGCGGGCCGAGCCTCGGGCCTGGCCCTGCGCCGCGGCCGCTCTTGGGCCTTCCCCGGGCACTGGAGTGGGCATGGGCCGGCACCGAGGCGACCTCCGAGGTTGGGCCTAGGCCGGGGACTGCGCCGGGGCCTCGCCTGCGCCTTCCCCCGGTGTTGGCGTGGGCATGGGCCGGCACCGGGTCCACCTCCGAGGTTGGGCCTGGGCTCGGGTCGGAGCTGGCACCGCGGCCTGGGCCTTTCCTGAGCCTTGCCCTGGGCATGGGCCGGCAGCGAGTGCGCCCCGGGGCTGGGGCTGAGCCGAGCCTGGGGCTTGCGCTGGGCTCGGGCCGGAGCACGGGCAGTGCCCCTGCGGTGATCCCCCCTCGTGCAGCCCAGCGGCAGTGAGAGCAGAAGGGGTGCGGGACCTCCCCCCCGCACCAGCACCCCTGGTGTGCTCAGGGTATGCACCAGCAGTGTGCGCATCCCTCCCTTTCGACCCAAAGCTGAGGGGAGAGATCCCCCTGTGCAGCGGTAAATCAATCCCTGCAGCAGGGGTTTGCTGTCTCTGCTACGCCCCAGCTTCGTTGAGTTGGTGTCCTTAGATTGACTTCATAGGGGGCTGAGTGATGGGGACGTGGTCTTTGTAATGCCTCAATGTGGGAGCAGGCTTTGTGCCTGTGGGCAGTGGGCATTAGTTTAGGGAAAACAAGCTGGAGCATTTGCTGGGAGCCAAGCTTGGAAAGTGGAGGGATTTGGAGGAGAAAATGCATAACTTAATGTTTCGTTGGAAATAGTCCACCCTGCTCAACAGTCATGGGCTGGGAAGGCAGTTTTCTTCTTTAAACCAGTTTCTTTTGAAAAGGCAAACAGAAGCTATTTACAGATCAAATGAGAACGCTGGTAACCATTTAACCACAAGGAATATTGACTCTTTGCTCTAAATATAGCAGATGCAATCGCTCACTTTGTTCCTGTTGTCAGGAATAGATCCCGGCTCGGGCACTGATGTTGGAATGTGCGAAGAAGGAGCCCAGGTCCCTGCGGAGAGGCTGGTGGTATTTATGGTCCTTCCCTGAGCCAAGCAGGAGGTGCAGGATGCTGCGTCCGTCGTGTGGGTCTGAGCCGAGAGGTTCATTTCTGTCACTCCTTATGGGCTGTTTCTAAAGCAAGACTTGATTCCGGCTCCATGGGGGACTCTTCCCTCTGCACTGTGCTGGGTTTAATTCTCCCCTTGACTTGATGGAGAGGGTGATTAACTGCTGGTGCCTGCCTCTGAGGGGTGAGTCAGGCAGCCCTTAGAGCAGGCAACAACGTGCAGATACCGTTCAGCTGCACCTAAAGCGCTGTCAATCAGGCTTGCTTTGTGCCATTCAGTTCTCATTTTGGGGTTTGTGTTCCCAGAGCAGCTGGAGCACAGCTTTATCTAGGTTGTGTTCCTTCCCATCACCTCCTTCCAGTGGAAACAGCTCCCTGAGGTGACCCATCTCTGTCCTTTGGGGCTTGTCATGTCTCGTGGCAAATCCAGGGGAGAGTGAAGATGTTTGGGGTAGGGTTGTGGTTCAACAGGCTCCTCCAGCACTGGAGATGCTGGTGAATGGGTTAGATGAGACTCTGTGGTCACTGAGTATCATCCTGTGCAAGGGGCACAGTACCATGTACCATGACAGCGTGTCCATGTGAAGACTATGGGGCGAGGTGAGACCCTGCTGACAGGTCTGCAAGAAAGAGAAGATGTGATTTGAGGGGTGCACACAAGCATTGACCTCTGAGGAGCTATGCTGGTGGACCCTAATCTTCACCTGCCTTTGTGGAGCTCCAAGCTGGGAGGCCCTTTTCCTCGTGGGATAACTGATGGAACGATCTGGGTCACATCCTTATAATGCTGGTCCTAATAGGTATCGCCAACAACGTGGTCTTCCCCCTCCATGTCACTTTGTAATTCTGTCAGCATCTCTGCCTTGGGTGGAAGGGCTGTGTCTGACCATCCTCTCTTCTCATATGGAGCTGGTGGTGGTCTGCAAGCCTCCCTCATTTTCCAAGCAGGAAAGCTGGGATTTTTCCAACCACGCCATCAGTTCCTCAGCAGAAGGGTTTGAATGAGCAGCCTGTGAGAGCTCCTAGCGAGGCAGCTAAAACATGAACAAAGACACTGAGTGTTGAATGAGAAGGATAATTTCCCTCTGGATTTGGTAATAAACCGTGAAGAGCAAACGATCGACCTGTTCTTCTCCTTTGATTGGGGCTCTTTGTGTAATTCACTCCCTGGACAGCCAGTTTCTAAGTGTGTAAATGTCTCTGAACCATCTTATCTTCCACATCTTGAAGCCATCGTGCACTCATTGCTCATCCAAACATTTGGTTAACCCATTATCCTGAAACCCAGCTGAGCAAATAACCTCTGTCTGGAGCCTCTTTTGGTGGTGCCTGTTTCCTTTATGATACCAATGGTGTGCTTTCATTTCTGTACAAATTGTGCCTCTTGTCTGCTTCCAGAGGTAACTTGTGAGGGATTTACTACCAGTCCCTTCATTCAGTGCCAGGTAACTCTGTACCTTTCACCTTTTCCTTACAATGACTCCATGTTTTTATATTGATGGGCTGGCATTTCACTGGCTTCTGCTGCTCGCCGCCAGACCATCTGGAGCTTGTGCTGTTGCCATCAGCTCTGTTATCATTTTTAATATGTGGCTATCACCAGGTTGAACTTTATCTCTTCCTCCTGCACTGAGTTTTCTATTTAAGCCTTGCTAAGCTGTTGTGGTGGGATAAGCCTGTATTGCTCAGCTGGGAGGTGACGTCAGGGATGTGGCCACCTGGGATGGGGTGATAGGAATGAGAAGTTACAGCTCCAGCAGCACAGGAACATTGGACCTTTTCCTTAGGTCATGGCAACTGCTCAGGTTCCTGGCCAAGAACCCCTTAATTTTGACCAGGTGGGAATTTGGTCTTGGGCTCTGCCCTGAGTCTTGGTGTCATTTAGGGACCGTTTCAGGGCCGTGCTGTCCCAGACCTTTTTTGGAGTCATAAGCTGAGCTCCATCCTTTGAAGCAGTGTTTTAACCAGAGAGGCTTAAGGCCATGGAGTTCTGGCTTCCCCAGACATGCCCTGCAACACCACATGCTCCCAAAGCTGCTGGTGGCCCAGGTACCATCAGGGTTCGGGATCCATCTGGTGTGAACAAGCAGGACCAAATGCATCCAAACCCACCCCAGTGCCTTCTGGAGCTCGCTATGCTTTGGCAGAGCTGCTGGGGAAGCTTCTTCAATGGAGAGGAGGACTGTCATCCATGGCTAGCGAGATGCCATCCTCTGGGAGAGTGACATCCTCCAGTGCACAGGACAGAGCCTGGTGGGTGTTGGAACTGCAGGGCATTGGCCTGGCCGTGAAGGTCAGTGCTTTGGTGCACTGAGCCTCAAGGGGAGAGAATGGGGATGATTCAAAGGCACAGGGAGTGGCCAGGGGATCTGGTGATGTTCAGTGATGCCACCATTGAGCAAACACAGGGGCTGGACCAGGCTGCGTGCCACCCCTGGAGAGGCACGTAAACGTAAACCAGTGTGTGGGCAAGGGGAACACAGGGCTGCTTGGGCAAGGACAGCTACGCAGAAGCCTGGATCCAGGACGGCACACAGCCAGATTAGCTGCAACCTGGCCCATCTCCATCTTTGAAGCTCGCTGCCTCTGTCGGGCAGCTCTGTGCCCATGAGCAGCATGGGGTGTTGGGTCTTTGGGGCCACCAATTCCTTGCAGGGTCCCATCAGGTCATTCCAAGCTGAGGTTGAGTGCTCCTACCCAGTGCTAAGAGGAGAAAGTCGCTTTGGGGATACCTCCCCCTGCAGAGGGAAGTGCCCTTGGTACCACTGGCTAAAACCAGCCTCATCCCTGCTGGCTGGCATCTGCAGCACAGTGACAACAGCATCCCTGCTATTACTTACAAATGAGCCACAAAACACACGAGGCAGCAGCATTTGTGCTCGAAGCATTGCTGCAAGAGCCTGCCCCAGTGCCCCAACCTCCTGGATGCACATCCTGCATGTGGGGAAGGTGATGGGGTGGGGCAGCACATACGTGTGCATCCCTATGTGCGTCTGTGTGCTCGTGCATCCGTGGCTCCCACTGTTCAGGGTGCAGACTTATCAAGATGAATTCATCTGGCTGCCAGTAGCAGACTTGCTAATGGGGTTGCATTAAGGGCCTTACTGAATTCCCTGCTCCCTTTCTTGGTGTTGTGCTTATTCTGCTAAAGTGGGTCAGGCTTTGTTTGTGTCTTCGTCAGGTTCCCTTCACAGAGCGGCAGCAAAAGCCATTACCTGATGTTGGAGCGCTGCAAAACGGTGCTCTTTGGTTATTTAATGCAGGGGGCGAGAGGAAAGGAGCTTTGTTTGGACTTTGTTTCGGCACATTTAAAGTGGCATCAGGGGAAGATTTTAGCAATTACCACTCCAATTGGCCTAATTACTGCAAACAGGCCCATTTTATAGGGGCTTTGCAATATAAACCGGGTGTCCTTGAAGAATGCAGTTTATGTGCCAGAGCAGTGGGTTTCTGGGGCAGCACTGGCACTGGTGGGAGGTGAATCCCTCTTGCAAATGAAGGCACTGGGAGATGGGGAAGGCTCCATCCAGCTTCAGTGAGAACCCATTTAATCCTTTTCCTGCCTGGAGCATCCCGGCCCCCTCCTTGGCCACATCAGCAGCTCTCACCCGTGTTTGGGGCTGTTCACGGTCACACGTCCCTGGCCCCAAGGAGCCCAGTTTGCCAAGGGTTTAATGTTTAGCCACTGATAAAGGGCATCAGAGAGGTTTTGCTGACCAGGTAGCGAAAGTTTCCCGGGAATTTTGCTGGCTCTTGCAGCACAAACAAGGCGGGGATGCTTTGCTCTGCTTGCTTCCGATAAAGTTCTCAATGGAAAACGGCCTGGGGTTTCCTAGAACAGGCTCCCCACATCCCTCCAGCTCCTGTTCCCTTGCTCCCCTTGGGTATCAGCTGGTGATCTGGAGCTCAGCTGTATCCCAAAAGCCTTCTTGCCGCTCTGTTTCATCCAAGGAGGAGTTGTTTCTCGGCCTGGGATTGGTTTTGGCTGCTGGGGCTTGCTTGCTTCAGACTCCAAATGAGGTTTTCAAACAATGTCAAGGGCAAAAGAAAGAACCCTTCCTGTTGTTGTGACTTGTGAAATGGGTGAAGTTGTCCTTTATGCCTTTTCCCCATGGGCATTTCTCAACCAGAAGCCTGACTTTTTACCCTAGAGGAATGGTGCCTGAAGCCCAGCTCGGGCTCAGTGACCATCAGGTGCCCGTGGCTTGATCCAGCTTGGAGCCAGCTTCTACCCATTTTACCTTGTGGTTAAAGCTGAGCCCAGAGCACCACGTGGAACAACTTAGTCCATAACAGCATCTTCTAACCCCTGCGTGGCTCAGCCCATTTCATCATTAATCTGAAGGCAAACAAACGTCATTAGAGGGCATTTGGCTCTCTGATAAACACTTGCCTGTCCTTGCTTTTACTCCCACACAAAACTTGGCACTGCAGGAGGCTTTTTGGATGCTCCCGCTGCATTTTGCTCCTGCTCCGTGGCCATGGTGGTCCCTGGCAAGGCTGGGTACCACATCCCTCCTTCCACAGGGAGCTGGCTGCTGGCTGGCCCATTCCAGCGTCTCTCAGCAACTGCAGAGCTAATTGCCATAAGTCTAATTGCAGTCTGCATCATCCTCCCCAGCTGCAGGGAGCATCATCTGAGTTGCTATTTCAGGGGTGGAAAGCGGCTCCTCTGAGCTGCGGAAGGCTGGTCCAGGCTGGATGTGGCCACCTGAAGCTGACAGCAGCACCGGTTTGTGATGTGCTTTGGGGTAAGATGTGTGTCAGGGACTATTCCCAAGAGGCAGCGTGGACATGAGGATGTGCAAAACCTCATCAGTGTGCTGAAACAGAGCCAAATCCACAGGGAGTCATGTCCCACTCGGACGCAACCTTGTTCCTGTGGGATGCAGAGGGCTGTAAGAGCATGTGCACATGCATGGATATGCACACACGTGGATGCACAACGCTACTCCCACACCAGGAACCCATGGGCCTGTTTCCCTGCTGACCCAGTGTGGTCCTGCTCCAGCCATCCCCATGGAGGGCTGCAGTTTGAACCTCTCCTTTGCACAGGTGCTGTATCCATGAGCTCTTTAGGATGAGGGATCTCTGAAGGTCCCTCTTTGGTCCCTTTGCTGAGTTTTATGATGTTTTAAGCTACCGGGCTCATAATCCAGGCAACTGCAGGGGGGAGCAAGGCAGAAACCTCATCCCCTTAGAAACAGGGGGATTGCTTTTACAATGCACAGTATAATGTTCTCGTACACACCACGTTGCTCTCGGCCCGGTGGTGCCCCTCGTTTTGGGTGATGCTGTTGCAGGCAGCAGGGCTTGCCACAGCCTCCTTGTGCTGTTGCACAGGGCAGACCTGCTCCATGCTGGTGAGACACGTGGCTGGGGCTCGGACCGCAGCGAGCATCACTCTGAGCAATGGGGAGGATGAACAAGGCAGAACCTCCTGACTACGCATTGATTTCTGGTCCACCAGCGAGACCCAGGAACCTGCTGCCTCCTGATCAGGGCTGACCACAGCAGAGGCTGATCTGATGCACAAGGCTTGCTTGGAGACTCTTAGAGCGAGCTGAGAGCACAGTGCTTTGCTCTCTGCTCCCATCCAGCACCTGCATGGCTGCTGCTGATTGCTCGGTGATGCAGGATGTGTTGAGTAGCAGCTGCAGCATCCCCACTCTGCTCATAGCACGGTTTGGGTTGAAGGCACCTTAAAGCTCATCCAGTTCCAACCGCCTGCCATGGGCAGGGACACCTTCCACTAGAGCAGCTTGCTCCAAGCCCCCATATCCAACCTGGCCTTGAGCACTGTGTTAACCCCCTGAGCATTTTGGGCTTGCAGAAGCTTTTAAACACCATTTCCCTCTCTCCTGCTCCAGAGATTGGACCTACAGGGCAGCAGTGAGGGGGCAATGCTGGGCATTGGGGTCTATGCCCTATGCTTGGCTTTCCCCATCCCTGCCTTGGGTGCTGGAAGGGGTTTGAGGGCATCAGTGTGGCGTAAAGGTGTAGGGCAAGAGG